CTCCCTCCCTCCCTCCCTCCCTCCTCTCTCTCTCTCTCTCTCCTTCCTTCACTTCCTTCTTCCTATCCTATCCCCACTGTTTTGTGATTAAGCAGGCAGGTCCTCTCAAGTTCCGGACTCGTGTGTTTAAGGTGGACTCGGTGCTTCAACCTAGCAGCCATCGCATCCACCGAGGTTCGCCTACATGCGCGCCGGGGCCACTCAGGCTGCATCTGCCGTCATCCGCTTCCGAATGCTTCAAAAACACACATTGGACGAAGCTCCCTTAGCTGCTCGTGATCCCAGGAATTGTGTGCCACCCACACTACGAGTCAGCGCGACTCCGGGAAAGCTGCTTCTGGGCTGATAAACTTGTCGGCCACAGGAGCGGGGTGACGATAGATCGGGAGGGTCGTCCATAACAACAGCTCATTCCCCACAGTACTGGAGCTGTGTAGCCGTCATCGTGCAGTTAGTAAGCACACAAGCTTCGAGGAGCCTTGCAGAGTCCGGGCCTTGGCAAACTCCTGCAGATTCTGATGCCTTATCGAGCACAAGGATTCTAGACCAGTGGCATCGTTTAGTCGAATTTTGGCCACAGAAACTCTCATGCGCACATGGCCCTACGTGTCCATGTACACCTGCGCGAGGTATCACGACATCATCAGCACAAAGTTGCTGAAAGGCATGGTGCAGCGCAACAGAGGGTTCAGCGTCGCGTCAAGTCAGCAGTCAACGATGTACAATCTGTGTCCACGAAGCACTATAATCCCCACTACAATCCCGCGTTTGATTCGTATTGAAATCCTACTTTGGGAGCCTTTTTGCTTGGTATTACTACTTGTCTCGCCATCCTCTGTATCCCTTTATGTACAGTCCTGCCAAGCCCCCCCCTCCCCAAGGCTCCGGATCCCTCAAAGAAACTTGTTCGCATGCTTTGGCACGCAAGATACCCCTCAGTTGCAGGTGCGAGTCGCCAGGCCTATGTCCTGGTTTCTCTGAAGGCCTCGGGTTTAGGTTTGGGGTTTTGGAGTTCGGAAACCCTATACACCCAAGCAACAACCGGCAGAGCCAGAAAATCGCT